AGCAGCTGTTGGTCCTTTCACTGCACGAAGGGAGAATGGACAGCTGGGGCCTGATTGGTGGCTTTTCAGGGAAACTGTCAACCTGGTTGCTTTGGCAACCAGGTAAACATTGGCCACATTCTAAACCTGCCCAAGGAGGGCAGCTCACCTGGGTTTAGGAGTGTCTGGATGGCCCGGTGGCTGACTCCTTTGGTGGCTTTTGGCCTCTGCCTTTCACGTGGGAAGTTGTTTGTTCATGAAAAAGAGAGAAGCACAATCATTGTGGCACAAAGCACAGAGGGAATCATACAATCCTAGGATAGATGGGAATTTTAGTCCAACCCCCTGCCCAAGGAAGGGCTCCCCATACCATCTCAGACAAATGACTGTCCAATCTTTTCTTGAAAATCTCCACAATGCAGCACACACAACTCTGGGATATTTCCTCTCCATACTCACACAGACTTCAGGCATGACCTCCCCGGAGGCCATGTTGCAAAGCGTTATTTTGAGCCTTCAGCGTTCACTTAATGACTTCAGCATTCGCTTAATGACTACAGCGTTCGCTTAACAACTACTGTAAAAATGTTCAAAAAATTAGGTCCAGTCACATGATGCTTTGACTTTTTAACTGCAACAATGTACGACTGTAATTCAGGGCTCAATCGCAGTCTCAGGTTGAGGACCACCTGTACTGATAATGTGACTTCAGGCTCAAAGAGAAAAACATTACAGATTTATAGTGATGAGGAGAGAGATGCTGTACTTAAATATCTTCTAAGTAAATGTTGAAGCATTCACTGCCCTAACAAATAGAGACAGTTCTTCTTTCTTCAAGAATGGCCTTGCTGGTCTCAAATATGTTCCATTTTAAATTTCCAAATATCATAAACTAGGAACAAAAAACAAGAAATAAACAGCAGGCTCAAAGTAACCAGCTTCATAACTTATCCTTCAGTTATAGTGAAATATTAAACCACAGGCATCCCAGAAACAGAACAAATTCTTATTTTTTTTTTTCAGGTTTGCAGGTTTACTTCCAAAACGTCTATTGTTTCACATAGATATCCTTTTTCTTCCTCCAACGGGAAAATTCTCATTTATTTATATTCATATTTTAAATTCTGTCCTTGTATCCTCTTTGAGTTTATAAAAATATCTAACTTTGATATAATGCCCCAAACAGGAACAAACGTAGTTATCGTTATGACTGCATTTCTGAAGGATGGGCTTCAGAGTGGGTTGTGTAGGGATTAGAGAAATTTCAAAGGAAGGTTGAGGAAAAATATTGGAAGCAGGATTAAGTACACATAGTACAGGAAGTCCTCAACGTACAACAGTTCATTTAGTAACCCTTGAAAGTTACAATGACACTGAATAAAGTGACTTATGACCGTTTTTCACACTTACGACCTTTGTAGCAGTCCCATGCTCACGTGATCAACATTCAAATGCTTGGCAATTGGTTCATCCTTATGACCGTTGCTATGTCCGGAGGTCATGCGATCACCTTTTGCAACAGTTTGAAAAGCAAAACCAATGCGGAAGCCAGTTTCACTTAACAACCGTGTTACTAAGTTATCAAGCGCAGTGATTCATTAAGCAACTGTGGGAAGAAAAGTCGTAAAAGGGACAAAACTCACTTAACAAGTGTCTCCCTTAACAACAGAAATTTTGAGCTCAGTTCTCATCGTAAGTCGAGGACTACCTGTGCAGGAAAATCAAGCTGAGACTTGAGTCCATAACAAACTGATATTTAATTTGAGTTTGTCCCAAGAAGCTTTATAGTAACAAAATTGTCAATATTGTAAAATTTACATTAAAAACAACGTGAAAATGGATTATAAACAGGTTGCCTTAGCTGTACGATATTTCTACCCAATCCTGCCTTCCTTGGCTCTAAAGATGTATTTATACAGATAGTCCTCGACTTACAACCGTTCATTTTTTGACCCTTGAAAGTTACAACAGCCCTGACAAAGTAACTGATGACCATTTTTCACACTTACGACCTTTGTAGCAGTCCCATGATCATGTGATCAAAATTCAGATGTTTGGCAATTGGTTCATACTTATGACCGTTGCTGTGTCCGAAGGTCATGTGATCCCCTTTTGCAATCCTTTCAACAGCAAAATCAATGCGGAAGGCAGATTCACTTAACAACCGTGTTACTAACTTCACCACTTAATTCACTTAACAGCTGTGGCAAGAAAGATTGTAAAAGGAGAAAAACTCACTTAAAAACTCTCTCGCTTAGCAACAGAAACATTGGCTCAATTGTGGTCGTAAGTCGAGCACTACTAGTATAACTCTTAGTAGTTTTCTTAGGGCTAAGACTCCAAGCTTTCCTTCCATCTGCCACTCCCAGCTCCCAAATTACTCACTTCTCTTCCCTCCAAGAATACAAATATATAAATATAAATATAAACCAGAAGAGGAACCCAGTGTTACTATCCTTTGATTGACGAGTCTAAGATCCAATCCCCACTCACTGAATTTCTGGGCAACAGGAAATGGCCTCCTCCTTTCCCAACACGGGGCCTAAAAATCCAGCCTGAGCTGAGGAAGGTCTGTAGTCCCTGCAGTTTGTCCTGCTGTAGTCACCTCTCGGGCTGAGACAGGTAGCATTGTCAATTCTTTCCACACATTTTTGCAGTGAAGACAGTTCCGCGCAAAGACAAAATTCCACAAGTAACTATGAATAGGATTATGGTGGTGATAAAATACCAGGGCAAAACAAGGCAAGGCAACAGTAAGTAATGGTTACACTGGATATTTCCCATTTGGGACCAAATCTTTAAAAAAATCTCTCTCTCTCTCTCTCTCTCTCTCTCTTCCTCTCTCTCTCTCTCTCTCTCTCTGTGTGTGTGTGTGTGTGTGTGTGTTTGTGTGTTTGTGTGTATTTGTGTATGTGTGTGTGTTTATTTAGCATATGGAATATCATACATGGATTTGCAATATATATTAACATTTCATGTAGACCAATAAAACATAATATAATATAAATTTGAAAAAGATCTATGTTCTAAACCAGGGGTCTTCAAACTTGGCTCTTTTATGATTTGTGGACTTCACCTCCCAGAATTCCTCATCCAGGCATGCTGGCTGAGGAATTATGGGAGTTGAAGTCCACGAGTCATAAAAGAGCCAAGTTTGCCTACCCCTGGTCTAGGCCATCTAACCATTGAAGCAAAGCATTGTTTATATTTAAAAATGAGAGACTGTATATGCCTTCAGTTTACAGCGGGACATGAACTGATCTACGATTTGACGTGGTACCCGCACATTTAAACACCGGTTTGCTGTTCATGAGACCTAATGCTAATTGCTGTCTAAATTGTCCTGGCGCAGAATTGTTCCCTCATGCTGTTTAGTTTCCTTTTCAGAAAATACTGAAAGTAAATATAAAGGTAAAACCAGAAACTTTTCTTTTTGGTTTAATGGAAAAAAGACTTGGACAAAATGATGGAACTTCAATGTTATATACGCTGACTGCAACAAGACTAGTTTATGCACAAACATGTAAGGACATTTCGATCTCCACAATGGCGGAATGGCTGCAAAAGTTGATGGAGTTAGCAGAGATGGCTAAATTGACTCCTTTGATGAAAGAAAAAGACATAAGTCCTTTTGTTTCTACTTGGAAACCCTTTCTGGACTTCTGCACTTCTAGGCGGCTGGGCTAGAAGATCTCCAAGGTCCCTTCCAACTCTGGAATTCAGCTTCTAAGTGGCTTTTATGGCCTCCGACAAATGTCTTTTGGGGGTTTTATCTTCCAGCCTATTATTAAATGGTAAATATAGAATCTTTCTTCGGTAAGTAAACTCATATTCCAAAAGTTTCCAGGTTGGTTATTAATTTTAAGATGTATATTGCAAGACATGATCATTGCTTCTTGTGTATAGAAGAAATAACCCTCCAAATTACAGGAAGCCTTAACTTACAACACTTCATTTAATGACCATTCGAAGTTACAACGTCACTGAAAAAAGGGACATGTGAACCTTTGAGAGCTGTATGCAACGAAATTTCATTTTGATGTATGCCAATTGGTGTACATTCAAAGTGACAATAAAGTTGTTGTTGTTCTTGTTATTATTATTATTATTTTCACAAATACGACCTTTGCAGCATCCCCATGATTATGTTATCAAAATTAAGATGCTTGGCAACTGGTTCACACTTATGACCGTTGCTCTGTCCCCAGGTCATGTGATTTTCTTTTGTGACCTTCTGACAAGCAAAGTCAATGGGGAAGCCAGATTCACTTAAGAACCATGTTACTAACTTATGAACTGGAGTGATTCACTTAACAGGTGTGGCAAGAAAGGTCATAAAATGGGGTAAAACTCAGATGAAATTGGTGCCCCTCTCTAAGTGGTCAGATTGCAGTCGCTGTCAGGTCACCATTTGCATGGAGAGAAATGGCCAGTCTGGGAGTTGCACTCACCTCTCCAGAGAAAGTCGGTTAGAAGAGTTGGATTGCATATTTTGCTAGTGTATGCCTTGTAGCAACAACCTAGCATGACTTGCAAGAAATTATGGCCTCTTAGCTACTATAAGTTGGGTATTGTTCTGTAAAATTCCTTATGAACTTTTTTCACACTTTCGTCCATTGCAGAACCCCATGGTCACGTGATCAATATTCAGATGCTTGGCAACTGACTCATGTTTAGGACGGTAGCAGTGTCCAGGGGTCATGTGATCAACTTTTGCGCCCTTCTGACAAGCAAAAGCAATGGGGAAGCCAGTCTTAACAATTGTGTTACTATCTTAACAACTGCAATGATCTACTTAACAACTGTGGCAAGAAACATTGTAAAATGAGGCAAAAGTCACTTCACAAATGTTCCATTTAGCAACATATATTTGGGGATCAATTGGGGTAGGTTGAGGACTACCTGTATGTAGTTGAGGAACCTCTGGAAGTGTCAGGTTTCCATTAATATTGTAACTAAATACTAATTCACTGTATGCTGTAGAACGGTGGGAAAAAATGGGACAAAGCTCAGACAAAGAATTTTGCTGAAATTTACATTTAATGAAAAGTTTACCCTATTCCTAACAAAAGTGTAATGAAAATAGGCCTAAGCTAAATTAGTATATATAAAATCTTTTTTACTTTTATTCTCCGAACAATAACTAGAACAACAAGAGCAAGTACAACAAAAAGAACAATTACAAAAACAACAACAATAACAAGACGCAGAAAGTTCCTTGGGGGAAAGTGGCTCATCGCTGGTCTTCGCTGCTGGGTCGGATTCCGCCGTCCATCGCCGTCCGTCTATATGCAGATAGAATAACAGAACAGAATACCAAGAGTTGGAAGGGACTTTGGAGGTCTTCTACTCCAACCCCCTACTCATGAACACATTGTTCCCAGCATCGCCTCCATCTGTCTGCTGTGCTAAATAGCCAGCTTCTGGTCCAGCCCATCAAGAAGGGCGAGACTTCCTCCTTGTGAATAAAAGAGCTGCCCTTTGCTGCTCCTGCCTTTTCTCTGCCCTACCTGTTCTCGGATGAGTGTATAAAGCAGTTCCTCCTCCAAACTAACCATCTGCAGCTGTGTGCTTTCCCATCCGAAAGCCTCCTGGCTGTCCTGCCGCACCTGTGCTCCAGCCAAATCCCTCTCCTCTGGCTGCTCGGAGGCATTGACCAACTCACCTCCTGATGTGCCTGGGACTGGTTCATCCTTCTCCGATCTGCCAACTGGAGAGGCATCTGGGGAAGCATCTGGGGGAGTAATCAAAGGCTTTTATTAGTACCACACGCTTTCTATAAAAGTACAAACACTTTGTTCTTTTTGGAGTTACTTTTGATACTTTTGTGGGGTTTTCTTAATAAGGACACTGGAGAAGGTTGCCATTTCCTTCTCCAGTGGACCATGTTGTGTTAGCGCTCTGCACTATGACCTGTCTGACTTGGGTCACCCTGCACGGCAGAGCGTATTGCTTCATTGAGCTTTGCAAGACTTCAACACAACAACAAAGAGGCTAAAATAGGTACCTCTTTTAATTAGAGACTGAAGTCCAGGGAGTCTTCCTCCAGGCTGCTGAGATTCTCCAGCGTGCCTTCCCCTTCTTCAGGAGAATCCTGTGAATGACAATGATTCCTCTTTAGCCATCAGTGAAAAGAGACTCAGAATTCCTAAAAGAGGTCCTATTGAATCAGGATCCTCATCGGGAACAATGCTTCTGTTGCAATCCCCACCCCCACCCAGCCATTCCCGCAGAAATGTAGGCTGTCTACTCTGCCCCTTAATGCCCTGCCCAGAAACAACAGGGTGCTGGAGAGGAGGAAGCAGAAAAAGGAAAGGGATAAGCACGGTGGTTCATATCCATTTAGGATACCAGTCCACTGCATTGGGCCCTTCCCTGCTGCTTTGCGGTACCCAACCAATCGCAACAGAGCTTGAGTGTTAGCCTAAATATGTTGTCCCAAGGGCCAGGTGTCACCTTGCTCCACTGCCCAGAGCCCTCCAGCACAGTTCACTCAGATTAGGAGAACTGAATAGAGGGACTCTATCCTTCCCCAAGAGAAAACACTTTGTCTTTCTTACCCACGGACTGGACGAAAGGCTGGCCTCCAAAGCCTCTGCAGCCTGCTCCCAGCTTCCCTCAGACTCCTCATCCAAGAGGGCAGAAATGGAGTCAAAATCCTCCAGGCTGTTGATCCCGGAGCCCACCTGCACTTCCATCGAATCCTGCTAGTGACAGTATCGAGGCTAAATCCTAAGCCTTCTGCATCCCAATAAGATTGCTAAAGGATAGGGTGCGTTCAGGCCCTGTGTGCCAACAGCAAGAGAGCCTCCATCGGCCCCATTGCCAAGACTTTCTTACCTCCGAGGTCTGCGTCTTCTCCTCAGTAGGAGAGAGCTCCTCTTCTGCCGGCTGGTCTTCTTCGTCCTGAAATAACAATGTGAAGGTTCTGTCTGTTGGCATCTCCACAGAGACAATGCTTCTTCTTTTAGTGGGGCAGAAGCTGTTCAGGTCTTACCGACTCAACGCAGGTCTCCAAAATGGGGGGGAGTCGCGGCCTCCAGTGCTCTTGCTTTTTCTCTCTGGGGAGCGAAACGAAGAGGCCAAAGGTGAAAAGTAGCCACGGGCCCTTTTTAAAAAAGTGGTCCCGTGGAGGTTCTAAGAACCCTTCCAGCTGGCCTGCCAAGGGGATTGGCCTGCCAAAGGGGCCTTCAGTCATTCTTCCTTTGCAGAGGCAGAGGGCAGAGATGCCTCCCTCTGCAAAGGTTTCACCCTCCGAGGTGTTACCTACCTTGATAAGCAGGCACTGCTTTCCTCCTGCACGTCGTCCTTGGTTGGCATTCTTCCAAAGGATCCTGAAATAACAATGCAAATATTACAAATGTTGGCATATCAACAAACCACAGCGAAAGGGCTTCTGCCATTGCCATGGTGAGGAGCTGGTCTGGGCTTACCGACTCAGTGCAGGTCTCCCAGATGGTTGAGAGCCGCGGCCTCCACTTCGCTATCTTCTCATTTCTGGGGAGAGAATGAAGGGCCAAAGATCAAAACTAGCCATGCGATGCCCCCCCTGCCTCTGCAAAGGTTTCTTCTAGCCCTTCTCTTTAGGGCTTTACTGCGGCTGCCTTTTAGGGGGCTTCAGAATACTTCATCTGCGAACACCTACCTCACTGAAATGAGAACTGGCATCACCTCTTCCTTCCTGGGGCTCCGGGCGGTGGCACGAACACCCATCAAACCCTGCAAGTAACAATTGAAAGTATAAATTAAAAGTCCCCTGCATGTTGTGGAACGTTTATCTTCCCCAGGAGGGAAAGACTGCATTCAACAGGGAAAGACACAGCAGATCATGGAAAAGTTGGCTAATGGGAAGAGGCTCAAAATGGCTCTTTCTTAGAATGTCCCAGTATTTCCCTTCCAAGCCATCAAGATCTTTTCCCGAATCCAAAAGGCTCCTCTTGACTTTCCTAGGCTGGCCAGGTTCCCCCAAGTGAGAATTCCTCCCTTTCCCCACCCGGTTTTGAGGCAAGGACCCTGACTGGCCATGTCACAGAAGAGTCCTTACCCCTTGGGAGGAAGACCTGCGTCCATCAGACACACAAAGATGTGTCTGCCATTCTCCCTTCTGGTCATGCCGCTTCTGTCCCTCGTCAGTCCTGGCCAAAAGAAGAAGGTGACATGTCAAAGGTTATCCTTCTAGGTCTGCCTCTCCTTTCTAGGACCGGCCATTCAGCCTGCCCAACTTTTTGCCTCTGCAACCCCTTGCACACAGGAAGCCATCTTGAGGAGAGGCTCTTAGAGACCCTGCAGTCCATCAATGTTGCCCCACCATGCCCAGGGTTTGTGGAGAAGGGGGTGGTACCTGTCAGGAGGCTCAGGAAGGTCCTCTACGTCGCTCTTCGTGCAGCAGAAGAGCGCTGAACATCTTTTCCAGATGTTCTGTGAAGAGAAAAGAAATAGGCATAAGTCAGTCATAAGAGTTGGGAAACATGACTTTCTCCCCTACTACTGCCAATTTCTTGGCAGCTGAGATGGCCACACTTACTCTAAAAAACCGTCGTACAGCCATGACCCCAAGCAGCTGTTGGTCCTTTCACTGCACGAAGGGAGAATGGACAGCTGGGGCCTGATTGGTGGCTTTTCAGGGAAACTGTCAACCTGGTTGCTTTGGCAACCAGGTAAACATTGGCCACATTCTAAACCTGCCCAAGGAGGGCAGCTCACCTGGGTTTAGGAGTGTCTGGATGGCCCGGTGGCTGACTCCTTTGGTGGCTTTTGGCCTCTGCCTTTCACGTGGGAAGTTGTTTGTTCATGAAAAAGAGAGAAGCACAATCATTGTGGCACAAAGCACAGAGGGAATCATACAATCCTAGGATGTGGCTTTTAGTCCAACCCCCTGCCCAAGGAAGGGCTCCCCATACCATCTCAGACAAATGACTGTCCAATCTTTTCTTGAAAATCTCCACAATGCAGCACACACAACTCTGGGATATTTCCTCTCCATACTCACACAGACTTCAGGCATGACCTCCCCGGAGGCCATGTTGCAAAGCGTTATTTTGAGCCTTCAGCGTTCACTTAATGACTTCAGCATTCGCTTAATGACTACAGCGTTCGCTTGACAACTACTGTAAAAATGTTCAAAAAATTAAGTCCAGTCACATGATGCTTTGACTTTTTAACTGCAACAATGTACGACTGTAATTCAGGGCTCAATCGCAGTCTCAGGTTGAGGACCACCTGTACTGATAATGTGACTTCAGGCTCAAAGAGAAAAACATTACAGATTTGTAGTGATGAGGAGAGAGATGCTGTACTTAAATATCTTCTAAGTAAATGTTGAAGCATTCACTGCCCTAACAAATAGAGACAGTTCTTCTTTCTTCAAGAATGGCCTTGCTGGTCTCAAATATGTTCCATTTTAAATTTCCAAATATCATAAACTAGGAACAAAAAACAAGAAATAAACAGCAGGCTCAAAGTAACCAGCTTCATAACTTATCCTTCAGTTATAGTGAAATATTAAACCACAGGCATCCCAGAAACAGAACAAATTCTTATTTTTTTTTTTCAGGTTTGCAGGTTTACTTCCAAAACGTCTATTGTTTCACATAGATATCCTTTTTCTTCCTCCAACGGGAGAATTCTCATTTATTTATATTCATATTTTAAATTCTGTCCTTGTATCCTCTTTGAGTTTATAAAAATATCTAACTTTGATATAATGCCCCAAACAGGAACAAACGTAGTTATCGTTATGACTGCATTTCTGAAGGATGGGCTTCAGAGTGGGTTGTGTAGGGATTAGAGAAATTTCAAAGGAAGGTTGAGGAAAAATATTGGAAGCAGGATTAAGTACACATAGTACAGGAAGTCCTCAACGTACAACAGTTCATTTAGTAACCCTTGAAAGTTACAATGACACTGAATAAAGTGACTTATGACCGTTTTTCACACTTACGACCTTTGTAGCAGTCCCATGCTCACGTGATCAACATTCAAATGCTTGGCAATTGGTTCATCCTTATGACCGTTGCTATGTCCGGAGGTCATGCGATCACCTTTTGCAACAGTTTGAAAAGCAAAACCAATGCGGAAGCCAGTTTCACTTAACAACCGTGTTACTAAGTTATCAAGCGCAGTGATTCATTAAGCAACTGTGGGAAGAAAAGTCGTAAAAGGGACAAAACTCACTTAACAAGTGTCTCCCTTAACAACAGAAATTTTGAGCTCAGTTCTCATCGTAAGTCGAGGACTACCTGTGCAGGAAAATCAAGCTGAGACTTGAGTCCATAACAAACTGATATTTGAGTTTGTCCCAAGAAGCTTTATAGTAACAAAATTGTCAATATTGTAAAATTTACATTAAAAACAACGTGAAAATGGATTATAAACAGGTTGCCTTAGCTGTACGATATTTCTACCCAATCCTGCCTTCCTTGGCTCTAAAGATGTATTTATACAGATAGTCCTCGACTTACAACCGTTCATTTTTTGACCCTTGAAAGTTACAACAGCCCTGACAAAGTAACTGATGACCATTTTTCACACTTACAACCTTTGTAGCAGTCCCATGATCATGTGATCAAAATTCAGATGTTTGGCAATTGGTTCATACTTATGACCGTTGCTGTGTCCGAAGGTCATGTAATCCCCTTTTGCAATCCTTTCAACAGCAAAATCAATGCGGAAGGCAGATTCACTTAACAACCGTGTTACTAACTTCACCACTTAATTCACTTAACAGCTGTGGCAAGAAAGATTGTAAAAGGAGAAAAACTCACTTAAAAACTCTCTCGCTTAGCAACAGAAACATTGGCTCAATTGTGGTCGTAAGTCGAGCACTACTAGTATAACTCTTAGTAGTTTTCTTAGGGCTAAGACTCCAAGCTTTCCTTCCATCTGCCACTCCCAGCTCCCAAATTACTCACTTCTCTTCCCTCCAAGAATACAAATATATAAATATAAATATAAACCAGAAGAGGAACCCAGTGTTACTATCCTTTGATTGACGAGTCTAAGATCCAATCCCCACTCACTGAATTTCTGGGCAACAGGAAATGGCCTCCTCCTTTCCCAACACGGGGCCTAAAAATCCAGCCTGAGCTGAGGAAGGTCTGTAGTCCTTGCAGTTTGTCCTGCTGTAGTCACCTCTCGGGCTGAGACAGGTAGCATTGTCAGTTCTTTCCACACATTTTTGCAGTGAAGACAGTTCCGCGCAAAGACAAAATTCCACAAGTAACTATGAATAGGATTATGGTGGTGATAAAATACCAGGGCAAAACAAGGCAAGGCAACAGTAAGTAATGGTTACACTGGATATTTCCCATTTGGGACCAAATCTTTAAAAAAATCTCTCTCTCTCTCTCTCTCTCTCTTCTCTCTCTCTCTCTCTCTCTCTCTGTGTGTGTATGTGTGTGTGTGTGTGTGTTTGTGTGTTTTTGTGTATGTGTGTGTGTTTATTTAGCATATGGAATATCATACATGGATTTGCAATATATATTAACATTTCATGTAGACCAATAAAACATAATATAATATAAATTTGAAAAAGATCTATGTTCTAAACCAGGGGTCTTCAAACTTGGCTCTTTTATGATTTGTGGACTTCACCTCCCAGAATTCCTCATCCAGGCATGCTGGCTGAGGAATTATGGGAGTTGAAGTCCACGAGTCATAAAAGAGCCAAGTTTGCCTACCCCTGGTCTAGGCCATCTAACCATTGAAGCAAAGCATTGTTTATATTTAAAAATGAGAGACTGTATATGCCTTCAGTTTACAGCGGGACATGAACTGATCTACGATTTGACGTGGTACCCGCACATTTAAACACCGGTTTGCTGTTCATGAGACCTAATGCTAATTGCTGTCTAAATTGTCCTGGCGCAGAATTGTTCCCTCATGCTGTTTAGTTTCCTTTTCAGAAAATACTGAAAGTAAATATAAAGGTAAAACCAGAAACTTTTCTTTTTGGTTTAATGGAAAAAAGACTTGGACAAAATGATGGAATTTCAATGTTATATACGCTGACTGCAACAAGACTAGTTTATGCACAAACATGTAAGGACATTTCGATCTCCACAATGGCGGAATGGCTGCAAAAGTTGATGGAGTTAGCAGAGATGGCTAAATTGACTCCTTTGATGAAAGAAAAAGACATAAGTCCTTTTGTTTCTACTTGGAAACCCTTTCTGGACTTCTGCACTTCTAGGCGGCTGGGCTAGAAGATCTCCAAGGTCCCTTCCAACTCTGGAATTCAGCTTCTAAGTGGCTTTTATGGCCTCCGACAAATGTCTTTTGGGGGTTTTATCTTCCAGCCTATTATTAAATGGTAAATATAGAATCTTTCTTCGGTAAGTAAACTCATATTCCAAAAGTTTCCAGGTTGGTTATTAATTTTAAGATGTATATTGCAAGACATGATCATTGCTTCTTGTGTATAGAAGAAATAACCCTCCAAATTACAGGAAGCCTTAACTTACAACACTTCATTTAATGACCATTCGAAGTTACAACGTCACTGAAAAAAGGGACATGTGAACCTTTGAGAGCTGTATGCAACGAAATTTCATTTTGATGTATGCCAATTGGTGTACATTCAAAGTGACAATAAAGTTGTTGTTGTTCTTGTTATTATTATTATTATTTTCACAAATACGACCTTTGCAGCATCCCCATGATTATGTTATCAAAATTAAGATGCTTGGCAACTGGTTCACACTTATGACCGTTGCTGTATCCCCAGGTCATGTGATTTTCTTTTGTGACCTTCTGACAAGCAAAGTCAATGGGGAAGCCAGATTCACTTAAGAACCAGGTTACTAACTTATGAACTGGAGTGATTCACTTAACAGGTGTGGCAAGAAAGGTCATAAAATGGGGTAAAACTCTGACGAAATTGGTGCCCCTCTCTAAGTGGTCAGATTGCAGTCGCTGTCAGGTCACCATTTGCATGGAGAGAAATGGCCAGTCTGGGAGTTGCACTCACCTCTCCAGAGAAAGTCGGTTAGAAGAGTTGGATTGCATATTTTGCTAGTGTATGCCTTGTAGCAACAACCTAGCATGACTTACAAGAAATTATGGCCTCTTAGCTACTATAAGTTGGGTATTGTTCTGTAAAATTCCTTATGAACTTTTGTCACACTTTCGTCCATTGCAGAACCCCATGGTCACGTGATCAATATTCAGATGCTTGGCAACTGACTCATGTTTAGGACGGTAGCAGTGTCCAGGGGTCATGTGATCAACTTTTGCGCCCTTCTGACAAGCAAAAGCAATGGGGAAGCCAGTCTTAACAACTGTGTTACTATCTTAACAACTGCAATGATCTACTTAACAACTGTGGCAAGAAACATTGTAAAATGAGGCAAAAGTCACTTCACAAATGTTCCATTTAGCAACATATATTTGGGGATCAATTGGGGTAGGTTGAGGACTACCTGTATGTAGTTGAGGAACCTCTGGAAGTGTCAGGTTTCCATTAATATTGTAACTAAATACTAATTCACTGTATGCTGTAGAACGGTGGGAAAAAATGGGACAAAGCTCAGACAAAGAATTTTGCTGAAATTTACATTTAATGAAAAGTTTACCCTATTCCTAACAAAAGTGTAATGAAAATAGGCCTAAGCTAAATTAGTATATATAAAATCTTTTTTACTTTTATTCTCCGAACAATAACTAGAACAACAAGAGCAAGTACAACAAAAAGAACAATTACAAAAACAACAACAATAACAAGACGCAGAAAGTTCCTTGGGGGAAAGTGGCTCATCGCTGGTCTTCGCTGCTGGGTCGGATTCCGCCGTCCATCGCCGTCCGTCTATATGCAGATAGAATAACAGAACAGAATACCAAGAGTTGGAAGGGACTTTGGAGGTCTTCTACTCCAACCCCCTACTCATGAACACATTGTTCCCAGCATCGCCTCCATCTGTCTGCTGTGCTAAATAGCCAGCTTCTGGTCCAGCCCATCAAGAAGGGCGAGACTTCCTCCTTGTGAATAAAAGAGCTGCCCTTTGCTGCTCCTGCCTTTTCTCTGCCCTACTTGTTCTCGGATGAGTGTATAAAGCAGTTCCTCCTCCAAACTAACCATCTGCAGCTGTGTGCTTTCCCATCCGAAAGCCTCCTGGCTGTCCTGCCGCACCTGTGCTCCAGCCAAATCCCTCTCCTCTGGCTGCTCGGAGGCATTGACCAACTCACCTCCTGATGTGCCTGGGACTGGTTCATCCTTCTCCGATCTGCCAACTGGAGAGGCATCTGGGGAAGCATCTGGGGGAGTAATCAAAGGCTTTTATTAGTACCACACGCTTTCTATAAAAGTACAAACACTTTGTTCTTTTTGGAGTTACTTTTGATACTTTTGTGGGGTTTTCTTAATAAGGACACTGGAGAAGGTTGCCATTTCCTTCTCCAGTGGACCATGTTGTGTTAGCGCTCTGCACTATGACCTGTCTGACTTGGGTGACCCTGCACGGCAGAGCGTATTGCTTCATTGAGCTTTGCAAGACTTCAACACAACAACAAAGAGGCTAAAATAGGTACCTCTTTTAATTAGAGACTGAAGTCCAGGGAGTCTTCCTCCAGGCTGCTGAGATTCTCCAGCGTGCCTTCCCCTTCTTCAGGAGAATCCTGTGAATGACAATGATTCCTCTTTAGCCATCAGTGAAAAGAGACTCAGAATTCCTAAAAGAGGTCCTATTGAATCAGGATCCTCATCGGGAACAATGCTTCTGTTGCAATCCCCACCCCCACCCAGCCATTCCCGCAGAAATGTAGGCTGTCTACTCTGCCCCTTAATGCCCTGCCCAGAAACAACAGGGTGCTGGAGAGGAGGAAGCAGAAAAAGGAAAGGGATAAGCAGGGTGGTTCATATCCATTTAGGATACCAGTCCACTGCATTGGGCCCTTCCCTGCTGCTTTGCGGTACCCAACCAATCGCAACAGAGCTTGAGTGTTAGCCTAAATATGTTGTCCCAAGGGCCAGGTGT